AAGTCCAAATTTTTATTTGATTGAGAACTTTTTCTCATCTTTGAAGGAAACCCAATATTAAGAGTATGATTATACACAATTTTCTCTGCATGTTCATGTGTTTTTCATAGTATCAGCGAACAAGTAGTAAGAGCAGGCTGCGAATGCCAAACATGATATGATTTTAAATATTACAACGTCATAAGAGGGTCCGTAGCGCAGTACTCAAAGAATTATGCTTTCAAATAATTGCCAACACATATTAAAACTTTATGTCCAACGGGAGGTGGGGGTGGGAGTCGCTTCTTCATTTGTTCACGAAGTTTAAAAAAGAACCGCATTCACTTACCTCTACAATGCCCAGTCGAATGGAGACGAATTAATAACGTACGGACAAATGAATGGAATTCTATTTCTTTATCCAAAAAGGTAGCTGCTTATTCATCGCCATTTAGGTTCCACAATGGGAGCGCTGCATAGATGAAGCAGCCGAGAATCTTGCCATACCACTTTCTTCTGCTTGTGCAAGTAGTTTCTTTTCGACCAAAAGCAGAGATATGATGACTGCTCACATATCTTGCTTTCATCAGAAATCGAATTAGTATTAGTGATCACAAGTATAGTGCCACTGCTTGGTGTTATAGCTCGAGTTATACAAATTTCACGAGTTTGGAGAAATTCGTAATGATCCGTGCTGTTGTATCAAATGATCTGTTAACAAGCACCTCAATTTGCTATTATCACATACTACCTGCGGAATCTTATATTTATTCCTAAATACAAACACATTTGGTCATTCAATGAATCTGTAGGCCGACTGTGCGCATCATGTCGCAAAGCATATCGTCAAGCAGGTCGTCGTCGGGCAGCCAAGAATATTATGGAAGGTGTAGATAGTTAAATTTTAGTTTTAATAGTCGTAATGAATTAAAAAAATAAATCTCTAGATATTCAAGTGTCTGTGCACTACGCATTCGACTCCGTTAAGCAGTGTAGACGAAAGTGGACGTAAGTCTGCTTCTTTAGTGGCTTACACGAATCCAGTGATGTATCACACGGATATTTTGCCCTTCCAGATAGCAGCAGTGTGAAGATTCCAAAGGGCTGTAGGATTTATTTTTCATCGAACACAGGATTCAACTAATGACACTATGTGCGTTGCCAGTAACCACTGCACTACACCTTCGTTTCTTAAACGGGAGCAAACGGAATGAAACGAAATCTATATCATGGCCTCTACACTTGCACTGTAGTAATTAGGGTAGCAGCCAACAGGGAATCCAGGTGACCTATTTACATAAAGGATTGTTGTTCATAGCTCTCCACGAATACATAGAAAACTCTGATTACTGATTCTAAAATTTTTCAACATTCTGAATTTCACAAAATTCGAAACGGCTCTACAGCTGGAAGGGGATGAGATACCATAAGTCAAAGATTTTGCGCACTGTCACAGCATGCCCAGAATTATCGTAATATGCCCAATTCTGATGAGAACGAATGAACCCTACCTCTGTGGTGTTACCTCTGTCACACTCGCCACATTGAGTAATTTTTGATGGAGCTACATGAAGTAAAATATGAATCGTAATTATAATTTATCTGACAATACCAATTAATGATTCGATATTGATGATATGCCAGAACGCAGGTGGCGAAGTAGTTAGAGGTGTTTTGTGTCGCACACAGCGTCACTGGTCTAATCTCGTGCTCATAGCTAACTATACCATATACCCCTCCGGGCCCGGTAAGGTGGTTCTAGACTGGTTCCCTAGTTGTTTGGGAGGATAAGCAGCATCGACTCGATGCGGCGGTAGGCCACCGCAAGTCATTTAGATGCCAGATATGCGTTCAGTTGTAGAAAGTAAAAAGTAAACTAATCAACGATCGCCTTCATTTGAAAAGAAACTTGATTGCATGATGGAACTGCTTTCTTCAATCTGCAAGGCCGTTGAATCAAAGTTGTGTATACCTGAAAGCGTAGGATTAAAGACGTCTAACCATACCTAAGAAAAGTCTTGTCAACCTGAAGGTCAGTCAAATGGTAGATGTACTGGAATACACGTGAATTCTCATAAAAATCGGTTGTACATAAAAATTTTCAAGTATTGGATGAGCTTTCACCAACATCATCACATAAGGTGATATAAAAAGTAATCACGATAAACAGAAAGTTACTCTGCAGAGCATTTTAGTTTCATTTTCGCGAAGCAGTCATATAATGACTGCAGTGGCATATGCCGATTCCGACAGCGCCTGTGGGAAGACTGAACGTCGCTAAATCTAACGAAAACGTAGTTTACGAGGAACGAATGAACTTCGAATGCCCTAACACCCTCAGTGAAACCAGCATCTACAAATGCTTCAATTACACCTAGGTCTACCGAGGTCGTGAAGTAAGCATGAACTAGCGCCAGTCTTGAGCAGAAGGAAACAAGCTATTTGGGGAGCGTTTGAAAACACCGATGCCGTAGTGAAGAAAACGAAGAACATCCGGCACCATGCCCACTTCTTCGACTGGGCGATTATTCTTGACTCAAAGTATGCAGCAAAAACCTGGTCGTTACGTAAGGATAATGAGGGATCATTTGGTGTTATTCAACGCCAGTCGGGAGGCCGATGCTAGAAGTACCCCTTATCTTGAAAATGAGAGCGAGGATCCGAAGCTCTGACCCATGTTATCGATCGAAGGTCAAGTATGCCGTTCTACACTTCAGGATGTCGAAAATAGGGTGGGTCGGGCACGCAATGCTCCTCAACGACAACCGATGGACGAGAGCCGTTACCGACTGAATTCCTCGGAATAGCAGGCCTCCACAGGAAGACCACCGACTTGATGATCCGATTTCTTTATTAGAAGCCTAAAAAAAAGATATGATGCTCAGCAAGTCCCTAAAGCGAGGAAGACCGACCCACTGGGCTACTTCTGCGTGGGATAGGGAAAATGGAAGTATTGCTGGTACCTGCTCGAGTCACTCGACGTTCAACGGACGGCAGGCGATACAGGTGATAACTCAAGGATAAATGGTAAAGTTTCGACGTTGATCAATGCCTGGGTGAATAGTTGTTGCATTGTGCGCGATATGAAAATCTGGAAATGAGCTTTTAAGTAGAACAAATCCGCAATGAGATAGATGGCGGGTGTTGTTGAATAGTGATGAATCAATAATTAATTATCGATACCTCACATAAAGTTTACGGCTTTTTGACGAGATGCTTGACGACATGTTGTGCGCTACCAACCGACGAATGAATTGAAGACCAAATGAAGTGGAATAAAATGAAGCAATTCGCAAGTGGTATATGTTAACGGCGAACCGAGGTACTTGATAACAGATCACTTGATACTACAGCACAAGTCATTATGAAATCCTCAAGAACCTATAAAATTTGCGTAGCTCGCATTGTTTAACAATGCAGTGGTTTCATACTTGTGGTCATATGAATATTGGTTCAATTTCCTCCAGAAATCTGAGAAAAGACAACTTTTTATAAGCTTTATAAGCTCAATTGTAAAACGCGAACATTGACTACTCTTGATCTGTTAACACATGTAAGTTCAAAGCTTTCACTAAGCATGTGTGCGCTCTCTAAAGGTGACTCGTCTTGACTAGCAGATAATGGTGAAGGATTAGCATATAGGTCGACTGATCTGTGAGGGATAATCGGTGCACTCAAATTCATCATATTTTTTTACAATATTAGAATCTGTCCTGATTAATGATGGTTTGAAGTAGCTATCGTTATACCACATGTTGCCATTTCTCTGTACATATTTCGTATAACCACTGACTCTAAACGGATAGAAAAAGGCCGAGACGAAAAGCTGAACCTTATGAACGTCAGACGGGTCTAAAACGGCTGCTTTAGACTTCTCCAGCAAATTGACGCATTGCCAAAATTATCCTTTATACCAGTCTTATATAAGGTCATTGACTATTACAAATAGTATTACAGACTGCAGATCAAATAAGAATATCGAGAAGTTCTTTTGAAGAGAAATCAATGTTTGAAAGAGAGTGGATGAAACATTCGGAGGAAAGAATCAAATTTTCTGATTTGATGTGCCGTTTGGATGATATGGTGGATATTTGTAGCTGGTGCAGATGGTTTGTGAAAGCGGTACGCCTTAGCGGCTCCTCGAGTGCTCCTCAAATTCATTCCACTATCCCGTTCACTTTCTCTTACCGACAGCTGTTTACATATCGAATCTTTTGGAACTCTCGATACATCTTATCATTCGTTTATCCACTGCTTAAAGCAAGTGTGTTCAACTCAAAGTTGCTCTCTTGCAGTCGGTGAGTCTTAAGAGTGTCAAAATGTTGGCTGTCCTCACTACGCCCTTCAGTATCTTTCCATTATTTGAGCGCCGTTTCGACCTTTCAGGAAAAGCCTATTTCGAGCTTGTTTTTGGCACCTGGTAATCTTTCGATAGCTAAATCAAAGAAATTTGAGCGGTCTATTCTGTTTCCAAAAAGACCTTGCTGTTGCGCTAATAGCAAGGAAAACATTTGGTCCCGCATTCAAAGATTTCTTGCTAACCAAAGTTTTTCCTTTCGAGTTTTTATAATGAATTGGTAGAACAAATCTTAAGGATTTCAACGATATTTTTGGTCTTTGAATTGTACCACGAATTACGCTGTAACAGCCAAAAGGATATTGGGTTTCGCAAAACTAAATTGCCTTTTTTTATCCACTCCTCAATTTGATGCCTCGGGAAAAACGTATTTTTTGGTCGGTTCCAACGTTCAAGCACCCTCTTGATAGCTTAGATCATAGAGACTTTAGTCGTGTACTTTCTAAACCCAATGATGACAAAGAGTGGCGTGCAGGAACGCTTGCGTCAGCCGGGATTCGAACCCAGATCCTACTCTTTCCAGGAGCTTGCGCTAAACCGTTGCACCACCGATGCTCGTTTCGCACTCCACTCTTTCTACATTGCAACGCGTTATCTGTCAACAGTTAACCGTGTTCGGTGTGGCTGGGCAATCATTATCGACATTGATCCCCTTATGTCACGAGCGTCGGTGGTGCAACGGTTTAGCACATGCTCCCGGAAAGAGTAGGATCTGGGTTCGAACTCAGGCTGACGCAAACGTTTTTACACATTACTCAGCATCATCATTGGGGTTTATAGTAACATCATAATACCGCAGTGGGCGATCAAATCAAATGATTTTGTGTACTTTATCTCAAAAAAAAAGCCTTTCTATTGCGCTGTAAAAGCAAAAATAAAATTTTGCTTTCCATTTGAAGATTTCTCGCTAACCAAAGTTTTTCCTTTAAAGTCTTAGCAACTAATCGATAGGTTAGATTCCAAGAATTCTAACGATTCAATTGATTTTGAATATCGGACTCTTATCAGACTGTAACAGCCAATAGAAGATTGAGCTTTGCAAAACTGTAAAAAAAGCATCGAGTGCGAAGTGCAGTTCTCCTTTGGTTCTTATGGACATCGAGAAATCTGTTAAAGAAACCAAAGACATTATTAGAATTTTTGACATTTAATCTATTGTATGGTTTTTGAAACTATATGAAAGATGCTCTGGTCAGCGAGATATCTCTAAATGAGGAACAAATTGTTGTTCTGCTCTTCCAGCGCAATGACAAGGCCTTCTTGAAAATAAAATACACCATTCAAAATTTTATAAATCAAGCAATCGGTTTATAACTTAAAAATTTAAGACGATCAAAAAGTACGTTTTTCTTAATGGATCGTAATGAAGAGAGGATAGTTGAAGTGGTCCATCTCTGCGAAACCCAATCTTCTTTTGGCTGTTACAACGTAATACCAGGTTCACTATAAGAACCAAATAGGTTAGCGGAGTTCTCAAGATTTGTTCTATTGACTGGCTCATAAAATCCCAAAGGAAAAGCTTTGGTCGGCAAGAAATCTTTTAATGAGGAGCAAAATTTTATTCCTGCCCTTTCAGCGCAATAAGAAGAGTTCTTTGAAGATGAGACACATCATACAAATTCTTTTGATTTGTGCTATCGAACAACTGTTTAAGAATAAAAAAAGACCGAAAACTGCGTTTTTTAACAAGGGGTCCAAATGGTGCCCAGATAACGGAAAGGTGACCGTTCTTCTTGTAAAAATTAGCATTGCTTATATATATTATTAGATTAGTATGAAATTAGCCTCTAAATGAAAAAAAGAACTTTGCTCAGGCAAGTGCATAATCAACATTAACATCTTAAGCTTTTACCGGAAACGCTGGAAACTGCGTGAGTATAATTACACAAGGAGAATGCTGATGAATCGTTCACATAATATCTAGCAACGCAGTAACGCAGCATATCTGAGCACACAATTGGATAGCATGTTTTTCGGCGCTCCTTCACTCCTCTCATTCATTTACTTATGGTACAAAACTGTACAATATAACGAAATGGTATTTTGCAGATGATACAAGGATAAGAAGAAGAAGAAGAAAGTCCAAAGAGATACAGAATATTTCTTGCCCTGCTTCAAGAGATACGTGAGAGTAAATGAGATGAAGTTTCGTTAAGAGCTTGAAGAAACGTAGAAAAGCTGCCACTCCAACAAATCCAACCTTTGACGCAACGAAAGATCGAAAATTAGGAAGTGCCATTTTTTTCTCGGAAGGCATGTCTCAGCGCCAGGCAATTCGGGCCTTTTTTGTTATCCGGAAACTATATTGAAGCAACCCCTTCCGATGAACAAGAAATTTTCGGGAGAGTGCTAATAATCATTCGATACTTAAAGCTCTGGCTACTGTGTTACATGCTACTCTTCTGAATAATACTTTTTTATAACAGCGTAACAAAAGGAAAACATTTGTGTTTCACACACGCATACTTCTCGCAAGGCAGAACTGTGCCCTGGGATCATAAATGAATATTTGGTACGCAAGTTTCATGGATTTTGCTGCTGGCCCGTTTTCTGGAAAGGTAATTCACGTTCGCGTAGCGGGGAGAATGAAATCGCACTTTACATACGCGGCGGCTTGCTTATTGGCTAGGTGTGTTGGGTACGTGGATGGACGCTGCTCGGTACGACGTTCCGAAATCGAACGATCGAACACATTGGGAATTTTATGTAGTGCGGCTTGTTATTTAATCAGGATTTTCCCACTTTGAAAAAAACTCCAGATAGTAATTATTACTCCGATATTAAAAGATTTTATTTGCACGTTCATAAGCTTTTCGTGCTTCCAGAAAAGTAATAGTAAGAGGGCGCGGCTGGAATGAAACATAATTTTATCTCAGAGGCTACTTACTAAATTGGGTACTTAGAGGGATCGTCTTTACTCGTAATGCGCGGCACAGCATAGTTTTCATTCGCCTCTCTCTCACACAGCTCTCGCCCATGGTGGTGGTCTGCTTCGATCATGGTGACGTACGCAAGACCCGTTTCGTGAATCAGAACTTGCTGCCATCTGCGGATGCAGATGGCTGAGGTTACTCGCAAACACGTCTGCCTATCGTTCGGGTGGCATATCAACAGTGCGTTTCCATTCCCTTGATGTTCACTCCTCTATTTTATTCTTCCAAGTGTCGTGTATTCTTCCTATCATGTGATCGAACATTCGTATTTACAAATTAATCTGTTTCTCAGTGATGAAGATGGAACAATTTTCAATTATCAAAGCTGTGCAAAACGCTTAGACTTGAGTACCGATTGGTTTCTTGATGAGCCCTCTTTGAGGTGGTAGTAAGACTTTTTGAGGTGGTTGTTGTGTATGTCCACGTTTTGCTGCACAGCAGAGCGCTATGAGAGCTGTCGAATAAGATATCATGGAGTTTGAGGCTGGCTATCTGGTTGGTGGGTTCTTTGGGAGGCCAGAACGCGACCAATGAGGATTTCTTCTTCTATCTTCTTTCACGTTACCTTTGCTTTCCATGTTTCTAAACGTTTAAGGTAGACACATGAGATGGTCTTTTCAATCAGAGGGATACTCAATTTGATTTTATAACCTTCCCACCATGGATTCTCCATGAACTGTATCTTCGTTCAGTTCATGCAGAGCGCTATCTTTTTACACTTTGCTAAGTTTGTTCATTCTGCTTCACTGGTACTTTTCGAAAAGATGACGATGATGTCAAAGCAAAGGTTTGACAAAAATTTTTCATCAGCCCGTATGCCTTTTCCGTCTCAGTTGAGCGACTTCATCATCCACTGCACTGCGGCCTTGTACACTTTGGCGATGAAGTGTCGCCTTGTCAAACTTGATGGGTGTGCCAAAGGGTCAATAAAAGAGCACCAATTTGTGCTGCAGTATCGACAGCCGTCTGCCGATGTTTGTATAAGACGAGTCTCTACCTTGGTCGACGAATACTGGCAGGATTGTAGTTGCTTCTGAGCTGCCAGACACTTTCTCATAGTCGATAAGGATTAGAATAAAAAGCATGAGCTGTTCGACAGACTTCAGTGACCCATGACACTCTTAGGAGGTCCCAATGTAGCACTATCCTTTAGGAAGTATTGCCAGATCAACCGGCTATGCTTCATCCAAGGTTCTTGATATGTTCCGAAAATGACCTTTGAGAAGATCGTGTAGGGTACACAAAGCAAGCATATTGGGCGGTAGTTACGAAGATTCCTAGTATGACCCATTTTGAGTAGGATGGTTGCGGGCTTAGTCTTCCACTGTTCCGGCATTCTTTCTCTGAAAATATGATGTCGGATGTATTACGAGTAGGGCAGCAGATTGCTCACTAGCTGTGAGGAAATAGGCAGTGTTATTACTAGTTCCTTAAGCTATGCCTCCCTGTATGCTTTCGGTACTAACTCGAAATTTAGATCCTTTCAATATTATTTGAGCCAACATGTCATGTGGTCTGGTAAAGGCTCTTGTACAGCCCGAGACACGTGTTTCGTCCTTACAGACTCATCAGCCAAAAAAAAATAGCTCATCAGAATTTGAGCGTGGTCTTAATAAAGCACTCGAATGAAAGGTCACAATTTAGAGGTTATAATCCTGGGTGTTTTGTCAACAGTGGGAATTTTGGGGTCCGAAGCGATGATCAGATTTTGTACAGAGTCCTCGTACCAAATAATTGTCAAAAGGGCATTATTTTTAGTTTGTAAATGTATGACGGATCGTCGCTATAGGAAGTTTCCATGTCCATCTTCTGTTTGCTCCCTTTTAAAATGTGAATTGTCATAAAAGGGACGTTTCACGGGCACGCACGCGTGCTATAAGATGGTCCTCACTCTCGTTTTCTCCCAGCATAAACTGTCATATTCCGCATAGCAACAGTTTCACGGATCCGTTGCCACTTCTCTAGCCAACTGCAGGGAAATCCCACGGACAAGTCGTCAATAAGGTCTATCGCAGCAGGACCATTGAGAGTCGCGGTCGCGTCCGCTTCGCCACGTCATCGTGGCGGCGGTCATTTCATTCATTTCACAACTTCTTTGCTTCGTGAGCTGTTGTTTCGTCACTACTGCAGTGTTACACTGTCGCTGGCATGTTCTTTATTGCGATGCTCTGATTTATCAGTTGATTGTTTCCATTAGGTTGCATTAGTTCCTGCTGCACAAGGCTCAACATAATGCAAGCGGAGTTCTTCACGACGGCGGCGGACCAACTTCAAACGGGTTTTGTTAGACCCGCCACAGTGGGGATCGGTTCCAGCCCCATACAGATAAACTCCTCCCTAATTATACCAATATATAGTCACCCACTCGTTTTCCTCCCTGGTATTCTCACCTGTCCGGGCAAGCATAATCGCATCCTAAAGTCCGCTGCCTAATCATGCCTTGCTGTTCAACGGTCAGTATGGCAATTTGTACTTAACAGTCACTTGCTCTCGTTGCACTGATCTAAACACGTCGTGTGTTACGTAATTATTGTAATATATTATATATATATATATATATATATATATATATATATATATAATTTCAAGGGAATGAGCTTCCTGCTTTGCACCACCGATTTGACACACTTCTATTTCTACGAGTGAAGTCAACCAGAGGCTGGGAAGTACGTGGGAGGCGGTTAGGAGTCGCCTTCAACAAATAAGCTCCTCGCGCTACTCCAAAAGAGGCTGGCAAGCTACTTGTGAGTACTGAGCCCCTACGTTTAGAGCCCAGCAAGCTATAAGTTGGATATCAAAATGCT